TTACTTCGCCCTCCTATTCAGGATAAGTTGATTTCAGCATCAAATGACCAGGGATCCTGTTTTGGTCTTAATGAAGCCACCACTGAGAAATCTCCTCTTTTGCTTGACAATGCAGCTACTTTAAATTCTGTGAGTGATTCGACTTTAGCAGAAACTTCAGTGAATAACCCTAATGAAAAGCCACACCTATCAACTCAAATAAGCGTCAGCCAGGCTGAGGTGTCCAATGGGATTAATATTCCACAACTAAATCTTGGTGTGAAGAAGGCATGTTTACCGCGGAAAGGCATTCTAAAACAGCGCTCTACATCAGGTAGGCTTATATGGTTTTGTTACAAGCTTACAATTGTTAAGGATCCTTTCTTCACGCTGATTTGAAAAAGCCATGTTTAAACTCCGAACTTGTAGAGAACTTTTTGATTAAAAATTGTAACACTAATGATCTCTGGAGCCTTATTATATGTAAACACTTAGTGGCCTTAAAAGAATATTGTCGCATTCCTGGTAGAATTGGCCTACGAATCCTCTTCTTTAATCACCTTACGAAATAAGAAAAAGGAAGTAATTTGAAATTTTGGGGCCCTTCGAAAACTAACCTATTTGTTTTGTTTTCACTCTTCAGTTTTCTAATCATAATTATTTTTATTCTTTTAGAATCCAGCACTGATGAACCTATCTTTAATTGTGTATTCTTCAACAAACTAACTCATCCTGTTCAACCAACAAAACCCCGTCTACCTTCGCATTTTTCAGCCAACGACTTTCCTATTAACTCAGACATTTCCGATTCTGAATCTGAGTCTACATTTGAACTTAATTCAAAAAATCTGTCTTCGCGCATGATCGAGTCTAAAGTCATGAACACTAATTCCATTAGCATGCATTTTACGGAGGCTGACCCTTCAGTTTCAGCTCCTGAGCTTGAGCCCCTATCTACCTCTTCCTCAGACTCAACAAATAATTTTAGGCACCCGACAATTACGGCTATGGACGACTCTGTTTTGAGCAAGCCCCGAATTGCTCTTGCATCTGGAGGTCCGGGCCTATTACCTAGACGTCGAATCCGTTCTGTTAATTTTAGCTCTCGCGACCAACAAGTCGCCTATTCACCTCGAGATACAGTAGAGGTATTGCATCATAATCTAAAAAATCGCAAGTTAGTTGACCAATTTTTTATAAATAAAGCCTCATTATTTATTCTTCAAATTTCCTATATTTCTATCTGTTGGCATAACTGATTTTGAAATATTGTGATTATCGAATCTTTCTTTTAGTCTTGATCACAGTCTTCTGGTTCAGAACAGTCCGTATTTATCTTTTTTATTCCATTATCACAACAGTAAACTTTTATTCCCTAAAACCTCAGGAATAATTCTAAGTCAAGCTTATGCGCTTTTCTTACTTCGATGTCGTTTACTAAATAATAGAAGGCTTATTATGGATTCATCGGAGTCTGGAGACGACACACGGAGTAATAATTTGCTAAATTCACAACTTCCAACCGCATTTATTTTGGGTTCAAACAGATTCCTCTCACGAACTTGATATATTTATGCTCTGTTTTAAAATAGTTATTTCAACGATATGAAACTGTGTAGGGATTCTGCGAAGCTCGGAAATTTCACAAGTTATTCTTACTTTGCCAGCTTAGCAGACGAATACCCAATTAAGTAATTAGTTGGCTAGCTTGTCATGATTCATTCGGTCACAAAGCTAGTTAGGCAATCATACGACTTGTCTATTAGTCACCAGTGAACTAGTGCTTAAGGTTCTAGTTAAAGCTCTATTCAATATAAATAGAAAATCTAGGTGACATGCTTAAAAACTTCTCGACTACCTACGTCCAAAATCAGGTTATTCGGAAAGCTTGGTTCTAGCTTGTCTAGTACGCATTAGACTACATGGCGTGGGTAAGCTAGACGGCAAAAGCTAAAAAATTAATCACCTAAGGCTAAGTCCTAATTATAAGGAAAATTTTTATGCTAGGATTTTGCTAGACAGACTTATCTTTTAGAACTTTTATTTATACATTACTTGAATTATATTGATTTGAATCTTATTATCTAACATCTAAAGGCCAATATGCTGATTGATTTTGAATTTATATAATAAACATTTCGCCAAGCTACTTGAACTATAAATTTTAAACCATTCCTGCTTCAGCCATATTTATTAGTCATGTTAAGCCTTGGCTTATTCTTTAGTTTAGCATTTGATACCAGAAAGTTACTTTCGAATTACTAACTCACATTGAAAGCGAAGTACTTATGTACACTGCTTATATCTCAGCGTATTGCGCGAATTTATTCGTTTTGATGGCCTATGGCTGTACATATATTTTTGGCAATTTTTGACATCCAAAAGGCCAAATAAATACATAACACTTAAGTAAAAATACCAATCTATATGTGTTTCAAACACCGATAGCATGCGAACTAGTCACTGAAGAGAATAATTGCTTTTCGACTTTAACGTAAATCAATCGTGTTTTTAAATAGTTTTGGGATATCTTTCCGCCTACTACGTTGTGCGTCAGTTGCCATGAGCGTTTCTAGCGTCAGAACATTAATTAGACGAGCCCTCCAATTTTTTACTCTCTTCATGGGGCATCTTCATACTTGGCACTAAAATAGAGATCATCGAAGTGTCTTTCAAATATTTTAACGAAATATAGCTTATAGGCTTGTATTCAGTCTAATATACAAAGCTGTAAGATAGAATTACAACAATTATATGGCTTTTCTCAGTAAATGTTCTACTAAGGTTATCTGAAGAAATGAAATCTAAGAAACTTCGACAATATCATAAAGTAAGTTAGAAAGGAGGGATTCATTAATTGGCCTTGCTGAAAACTCAAATAGTGATATAAAAGTACGAAGACCAAGATGGTGTCGCGGTCTCCTTTCGTTGTATAGTAGTTGTTTTCGCAACTTTGTCATATTTGCCGCTGTCCGCTGTCCATAGCATGCATGCTAGTTTCCAGAAACGGGCCATGCACTTGGCACATTCCCAGACGTTTCGCCGGCATTGTTAATGAGCCTTGTTATTCTTAGCACCACACTATAACTCATCTTAGACAAGGGAAGTCCGTCTTTTTACCAATTGTCTGCCAAATAGTTGTGTTATCTCTTCTGCCCTGTGCTATTCACCTATCCTATATCCTTGTGCCACCCCTTCACTATCACAATTTCCTAATTACTTATTTAAATGTGGTTTGATGTGCCCTTTTTGAGCGGATTTCATGAGACCTCTTTACACAACACTGGCTTTCTCACCCAGCCCGCTTAACCATTGTTCTTGGAACGTTAATCTTATTCTGCCATATTCCGCAATCCTCTTCCCATAGATCCTATCAGATTCTCCCTCAGACCCTGTAAGATCGTTCTCCTATTGCCATGGTTCAGGTATTCCACTTGACCCCAGTCGCCCTGTCTGTGCTACTCGAGGGGTTATTTCCCACACTGCCTCAAGCTGTT